AGTTTTCTGCACAGCCAGGAGGGCTAGAAACTTACTTTTCCTTTAAAGAATGAAGGCTGGAATCATCCCATATCCACTTGACTCCAGGAGCTGGGGCTTTAAGGAAACAATAATGATCATGAGATTCATGGCAAAATCAGGAGAGTTGACAACACTGCAAGTACGTTACTGCTTGCTGTGCCCGGGGACTCCTCACTCTTCCGACACACCACACAGTCTGTCTTTGAGAGCTTTGAAGTGGAGTGTTAGACGCATTTCCTACAGTATCTTGCACAATGGCTGCAGATTAGCGGAGAAGAGAGGCTGTTCAGGAAGCCCGCTGCTGACTGAATGGGGTGCCAGTTTTGCATGAGAAGGAATTAAATAGCTGAAGATCTAGCTATTGCTTCTATGGCTTCATAGAATGGCAAATCCAGATACAGTTTGCATCTCTTTTGTACCCTGTTCTAGAACAAAGGGCTTACCATGCTAATGAAGGCCATTTGAAACGTTCGCTTCCTTAAGCAATAATTGTGCTGGGGGAATCGATCCTTAACCCAATGCATTAACATCCTACATAATCAGGGAGGCTGCAAAAAAACGTTTTGAGGGGGTGGGGGAAGCGACAAAGTTTAAGTGCAACCGAGAAAAACTTTAGCCAAGTTGGACTCTTGTCCAGGAGCCCCAGTGGGGCAGGGCTTCCCAGAAGAGAGGACACGCTTGTGCGTTTCTGCTCCTCACTGAGCCAGGAAATGATCTGTTCTCTCTCTCTCCCACCAATCAGGCACGCCGACTGGGCAAGCTGCTTTCTTCACCCAACGTCCCTGGCCCCCTGTTCTCTCCCGCTGGAGACCCAGACACTGGATTGCCAGAGAAGCACCCAGGAAAATGGGATCTTCTACTGCCTCCCGGCCACAACCTGGATTCCTGCAGTTATTGCATTAAGTACCTGACCTTCCTCTGGAACCTCTTGTTCTCTGTGCTGGGTTTGCTGATCTTGGCCTTTGGGATCTGGGGGCTCCTGGACAAGGAATCCCTGGTAAGTGAGCGTATAGCCCACCTGGGCTCTGACCCCATGCTCTTCTTTGTCCTGGTGGGTCTGGCCGTCAGCACCATCTCTCTGGCAGGCTGCATGGGAGCGCTCTATGAAAACATCTGCCTGCTGAAGTTCTTTACTGGGGGAGTCATCGCTTTTGTCATCTTGGAGATTCTCGGCGGGCTCGTACTGTATTCTCTGAGACACCAGATCAAGGGCTCCCTGCAGAACACCATGCTGGTGGCTGTCCTAAGGTACCAGGATGACCCAGATCTGAGATTCATCATGGACGAAGTTCAGATGGGCTTGCAATGCTGCGGCGTGGAGTCCTACCAGGACTGGAAAATGAACATGTGAGTGCAAAGGTTTGGGCTACAGCCACGTTGTCTGGCTCACTTGGGAGGCAGTGGAAAATCTCGGCTTTGGGCTAGCAAAGCACCCTGGCATTCCTAGTCCAAGTGCTCCTGGCATGGAGGAGAGCCAGCATCAGCTGACTCAGCTCCTGGCTACAAGCTCATGCTGCAGCTGCCGGTGCAGCTTCCTAGCAGGTCTGGCTGAACACGGGCAAGAGGCGTGTTACAGCCACATGCCTTCAGCCTCGCTTATGCTGCATCTGGTGCAGGGTAATAAATAGTAAAGCCGCCTTGCAAAGCTCATGGAAACTTACCAGCCCAGGCACAATCTGCGCTCCCCCTCCTTTCTGTACTGGGAGCGAGGCTAGATCTCCACAAGGCGGTTGTAAAGCACTCATGGGCCTGGCCTCCGTAGGGCGGCTCTCCGTGTGGACTGAGAGCCAGGTGGGTGGACAGACACTAGAGGAAAGCTGTTGTGTTCCCACGAGGAGTGAGCGGACGAGATTGGGCCATGGGAAGATGCTGGTCTACAGTGCTGGAGCCCCGAACTTCCCCACGTTCTCCTGCAAGGGAGGCTCTTTGCTTTGCTTTTTCTTCTTACAAAAACCCAGAGAAACTGCAGGGCAGGGCAGGGCAGCTCCGGTGCAACCTCAAGGCTCTGGGCCCTCCCTCTATTGCTTGGCTGGCACGTGCATTTGTATATGGTGGGGAGTCTATCTCCTGGTGGGGTGTGGGAGCGGGGGTGGGCTGAGGAAATGACACCATTAAACCAACCTGAGAGAGGGGCTGGCAGGTAACGTTTCTGCTCAGGTTCCAACCGCCAACCCCAGACTTGTGCTCCAGTTCCGATTCGAGCCTAGTGCAGCTTGGCCCACTTAACAGAGGGGTCTCAGAGTAGAACCGCTGCAGCCTTTCCTGGCCGTGGGAGATGGACCCCGAAGCTGCAGCTCAGGGGTTCTCTCTGCTCGCAGTGAGCAGCGCCGGCTGCTGCGATGGTGAGCACCAAAGCACTGGGGTCCTCCAGTCACCCCCCGAGAGACTGATGGATTCTTTTTGGTCCCTCACAGGTATTTTAACTGCAGCTCCCCCGGTGTGCAAGCCTGCGGTGTTCCCGCTTCCTGCTGTCTGAATCCCCTGGAGAACGGCACCATCACAAACTCCCAGTGTGGCTTCGGAGCCCTCGGCATGGAGGAGTTTGCGGCTCAAAGTATCATCTCCCTCGGCGGCTGCGCGCCCCAGCTGAGCCGGTGGCTTCACAGTCACAGGGGGGTGCTGAGCGCCTGCTTTGTGTTTCTGATCCTGGTTGAAGTCGGAGGCTTCTTACTGGCAACCAAGTTACTGGCAGACCTGGCATTTGCCAGAGCGCGAGGGCGGCAGCCAGGGGCTTGGTGACTCGCCGCCCGTGGCTGGAAGTCAGGGCTGGATCCTGGGGTGGAGCTTCAAGCCGATGTGATAGAAACGGGGGCTCTGAACCGCTGTCCAGCAGGGCAAGATGGACGGGCTGGGCCCACTGCTGAGCTCGGGTTCTCTGAGGCCTTGTGCTGTGGGAAAGGCTGTCTGGTAGAAGCTCCGGTGTGAATCTAAGCCGGGCTCGTTGTCTCGGCGTGACCCCCTCGGTGGACACGCTGATTCCAGTGTGAAACGGCGCTATCGTTCCAGCTGGTGTCCCGTGAAAAGGGGGTGGAACCACGCCAAGAAAAGCCCCCCGTGCACTGGCAAGAGGGCCGCTGGTGGGAGGGGGGGTTAGTTCTGGGACTAGTCTGGCCCAAGCAGGGAACTCCACTGGCCCCACTGAGCCTGCTTCAGCGGCTCCCTGGGCTGCGGGAGATCAGAGTTGATCCCTCTGTGCCTGGCTGGAGCAGCAGGGCGTGTGCAGGAGAAACAGCCCACCTGCACCTGACTGCTGCTAGGAGACCCTCTCTCAGCAGCTCTGACCTCTGTCACGGAGGGGGGAACCCCAGGCCTTCAGCTGAGTGCAAGAGTTCCTATGCCCCCCCCCCGTCTCCAGCCCCTGTGTGCTGCCTGCCTCCCATCTCCGGCTTGCTGTGGGGAGGCCGTGCCCTGCCCAGCTGGGGCTGGAAAGCTTTGTAGTTACCTGGCAAATAAATCTCTACCTGTACCATGACTGTAGAGGAGGGAGTGCCTGGGAAGGGCCACTCCCCCCCAGTGAGATACCATGCAGGGCAGACAGAGCAAGTGAGCCCCCGAGGAGTGACAATCGCTGAGTCCAACTGCTCCGCTGCTAGAAACCGCTGCCTTGCAGGTCTAGGCCGGACGCGCCCAGCGGCGGCCATCTCGCTTCCCCTTAAGCCCACTCCTGGCCGTGGGAAGTGAAGGGCCAGATTGCCCTACCCTCAGCAGGGGCGGGGGTTAAAGGCCCAATCCAACAGCCCCCTCCGCTGACTGCACTGGGCCTCAGCCAGGCCTTGCAATGAGATGCAGCCTGCAGAACAGAGCCGTGGCCCTGCTTGGCTGTGCAGAGCTGAGCCTTGAACGCCAGTGCTGGCTGCCCCGGCCCGGCCTGGCCCAGCCCGGCTGACTCAGAGGCTCCTAGCTGGCCTGCTTGGTGCAGCCCGCATGCTACGGCATCCTCTGCCCCCGGTTCCTTCCCCTCCCACCCCCAAGGGGAATCTCCGGGTGACTAATGTTTGCCCGGCCCTTGCAGGATGTGAAGTGCTCAATTAGGGCTTTGTGCTGAGTGGGAAACTGCCCCAGCTGCTCCCTCTGCCTCGCCTCCTGGCACAGCTGTATCAATTATCCATGGGCAAAGGAGGCCGGGCTCCCAGCTTCCAGAGCTGCTTACACAAGCAGCTTCTCTCAAATCAGTACCACAAAACACCTTGAACCTTGGCCCCCTCCTTTCACCCAAGCAGCCAGGGTTTATGCTGCCTCTGTGGAGCCCACCCCCTGCAAGCAGGGAGTTCTCTGCTCCTCCCCAGAGGTGGCTGCATGTCCCCGGGGCTGCCTGCTTCTTGCCTGAGAAGCATGTTTTGAGACAAGGGGCAGGGGAAGTTTTAAGGAGGAGAGCTGCCTGGCCTTGGGGGGGATGTCTGTCTGAAAGCATTTTCACTGAAAAATGGGGAGGCTTGGTGGGGGGGGTGATGCCTGGGTTTTGGCAAGTGCTGGTAATTAGCCCATATAATCCACCTTCTGCAGTTTATGGTAATGTAAAGCTACCCTGGCTCCTGCAGAGAGAGAACCTGCCCCAGCCCTAGGCATCTGTGAAGAACATCACGCAGACAAGGCTGCTAATCCACAACAGAGGGAGGATCATTCTACACTTCACACTGCAGCCGCGGCTCCCCCCACTCCCCTGTTTGCTGAGTCTGCAGCCCTAGTGAAAATTCCAGGGCTTTCAAACAATTAGCACACGTTAAATGCCAAATCCCACTGGCCTGGCTCCAGCAGGCTGGGCAAGCTGAGAGGTGAGTGAGACTGGTGGTACACAGCGTGTTTGGGGAAATCCCGTGTTAAGCAACATGTCCAAGCTGCATGGGAGAGTCAAGGGTGGAATAGAGCTGGCTCGGAAAGCCAGGTCAGACTCAGAGCAGATTTGACTGAGCGTGTTTATTTTAAAGAGCTTGTTCAGGCTGGTCTGGTCACTAGCAGCAAAAGCGCTGCAGCCCCCTCTGTATAAATAGTGACAATCCGAGGGCTGCCATGAGACACACGCTCAGGGCTGGCTAGATGATGCCGTACTGCGCCAGCTCGTGGAGTTCCAGGTGACTGAAAGCTTCCCAGGGGCAAATCACGGTGATGTCTGAAAGGGGAAAACCAGAGAGAGGCAGGTGTCAGCGTGAGCCAGGGTCTGGCTGCTGTCTGGGCAAAGCGCTCTCCCCAGCACTGCTGCTTGGCATTGTCCCTGCTCTGGGCGCCCCTAGTCCCAGTTGGCTCGTTCCATGCCAGCGCGTCCTGCCTGTCCAGTGGAGATCGGTGCCACGGGGCTGGGCCCTGTTTACCCAGGGCAGAGCTCTCCCCCGGGCACTCTGCCTTTGTTCTGGAAGTTCATTCTCTGGTGCAGGGGGAATGGGGCCTGCAAAGGGGGAGGGACGGGGCGGCACAGGGAATTAAGGCACAAGTTCAAGTCCTGCTTTAGGCCATATGTGAAATTGACCCATGTGCAGTCTCTCCTGGTTCCATTTATCCACAGCAAACCCAGTCAGGGCTCGGCTGGCAGCCACTTCTCCGGAGGGGACCAAGGGGGTGGGGAGCTGCAGGTCAGGGCTGAGCTGGGGGGGAGGAGAGTCCAGCACAAGCCGTGGTGGAAATGCAGAGGGGGTTTGATATCTGCACAGCTGTGAGCCTCTCCCCAGGGCTGAGGTGCCTCTGCAGAGCAGGGTGGGGGCGGCCTGGCCCCTGACGTTAATCTCTCCCTTTCATATGCAACACATTCCCTATTTCCAAACCAGTCAAGCACCAGCTGCTCGGTTACCTGTTCCCAGCCCCTCCATGCCAGGGATGTCATCACCGAACCTGCAAGGAGAGACACCATTACATCACTCTCCCTGCCCTGGGCTCAGCCGGGAGCATCCCTGCCCACCCCCAGCGAGCTGTGACCCCCAGCTCTGCATGGAGGGGTGTGGGACGAGGGGCTGGACAGAGGGAGCCTCTCCAGCAAATACCCCTCGCTGGCTTACTGGCCAGAAACCCAGCCTTGAAAGAGCCCATTGCCTCAGTCCCCACAGCACCGTAGGGCAGTGGGGTGGCTGTGGTTCTTTGTCCCCTAAGGGAGAACTGAGCTCTAGGCAGTTCACTCTGGGTGTGGAGCCTTTGCAGAAGACCTGACACCCGGTCTGCTCTGCCGAGTCCTGCAGAATCCCACTGCTGCGTTGTCCTGCATGAACTGCTGAGCCCCCGGCTGGCTGCGTCTCCCTGGACGTGGTCAGTGAACGGGCGATAGGGGTGAGAAGACCTTCATGACTCTGGTTCTCGGTGCAATGGGTGGTCTCTCATTTCGCTGCTGTTCGGGGCACTCCTTTCTCTTTGTTAAAGCCCCCACCAAGGTCTCCCTGCTCTGTTGCCAGCGGCTCCCCTCCTTCCGCATTGTTGGGCTGTCCTGCCACCCCGACCTGCTCGAGTCCCCTCTAGCCTCACATGGGTTCCCCTAAAGACACTATTCGGGGGGGGAGTGGATGAGGGCAGGGCTCTGCTGTGAGACTGCCCCGCCCCCGAGCTCTCTGGGGATTAAATGCTCAGGGGTTGCAGCTGTTACAGCTGGGGGGCAGAGCCCAGGCCCAGAGGTTAGTCCTGGCCAGAAGGGGCTGGCAGTGCACTGAGCCCCTGGGTTAGGCAAGTCACCGTTGGCATCTGCCGGGGACCATGCCCTGCCTGCTCACCGGTACAGGGAGACCAGACTCTGCGAGAGCAGCACTCCCACCCTACGTGCTCACCCTTGGGTCCCCTTCTTGGGTGGCTTGCTCTTGAACTGCCTGGTTTGCCTCTGCTTGAATTTGGGGGGCCCTTTCCTGGGGGTGACTGGCCCTCCAGTCACCCTGGTGGCCGACTTGATCTCCAGCTTTGGGGGCTCCAGGCTCATGGCTGCGGTGGGGTGTCAGCTGCTGGTGCAGTCCCCCTGGCTCCAGGTCCCGGCTTCTCCCTGCAAGTCACACGTTTGGAGGCAGAGAGAAGGAAAGAGAATTGGCTACGTGAGGGGAGCAAGGCGATGGTGGCCCACGGTGCCTGCTGAGACGGGCCATCAATGCAAACGTACTACTGCCTTCCTGGGTGGGCTAGCGGCAGCTGGAAGGGATCTAGATGCCCAAGTCTCTGTGCCTGAACTAGACCCACCCCTCTTAGCGCAGGGTGTAGCAGCAGGCGCCTCAACCCAGCTGCTGCTAGAGGGGGGACGCAGCGGCACCCCAGCGGGTGTGGGTCACCCAAGGCTGCTCGCTCCTGGGAGCAGGGAATCTGGGTGCAAGATGGGTGGTGCATGGGATCACACCTCCCTCTAGTGGCTGACTCACTAACTGACAGCCTGTTACCGCTTTCGCTCGTGGGGCAGGGGGATGCGCTTTCTGGTGCGGAGCAGCCACAGTTCAATCCCCACCCGTGACCCTGGATGGAGATTTTCAGTGCCCGCAAGGGGCCGTAGCTACCCAGCTCCTGGGAACGAGTGGGAGCTGGGTGGCCAACCCCCAGTCAGCTCTGGCCCTCCCGCCCAGGGGGCTGGTGCATACAAGAGGCCAAGAACAGTGCTGGCTAGCTAGGGAGTGGGATGCAGACCCCTCCCATGCCTTTTAAACGAAAGCTTTAGCCACTCACCCGCCCAGAGTGGGCCAGGGCTCCGTTCCATGGCTCGGTGACCCACTTGCCAGGCCCCCCACGCCTGCTGCAGAAGAAAAGCTCCTGCAACCTTGGAATTAGCTGAGCTCAGACAGCTCTAAGCTCATTACTGCAAGGACACTGACATGGGACAAAGCGGGGGCTTTAGCGTCTATTTCTTTAAACAGCAAATCCCTGAAGTTACAACTGTTTGCTCCTTCTCCCCCGACCTCCACCATCCCGACTCTCATTCCAAGCCTGTCGGGAACCTGAGGGCAGAGAGGGCTGAATGAATCTGGGAGGCTCTTTGCTGGGTGCTGTTATTGCTTCTGACACTGGGTGCTGGGAGCAGCTGGCGTCCTGGCAAAAGGAAGATCTGAGCATGCAAGGTCAGCTCGGCTGCTGGGCCCAGCACTGTGCAGAGGTCTCTTCCCGCCGGTTAGTGTGCAGAAAGCCCTGGGGTCACACGCTTAGCCGTGTGCATGGCGGATAACGTGCCACAGCGTGTTAACAAGGACGGGAACAGCACCTGCGTGGGACTGAAACGTCCCTGCTGGCTTGTTTTAAACTGTGCGTTTGCAAGGACAAAACAGGTCCTTTCTCCCTGGGACTGCAGGCCCTGAAGTCTGCGCTCCAGGGCGCTGATCCAGCACATGTGTCAGTATGGGCTGCTGCAAGCACAGGAGTTATTGGGTCCCAATTGAGCTAAAAGTCATATATATTTCAAAAGACAGAGATCCAGGTCTACAGCTAATGTGTCGCAAGATTAGCATTTAAAATGAGCTCTCAGAGACAGTTCACTGTGGATGCTGCTGGTTGCATTTCCCTTCTCTGGGGCTGTGAAAATAGCCTAGTCGAGCGACAGTTTGATCATGTAATGAGACTGTCCCACAATGCATACCCACCAAGGGCAGAATTAAGGTTACACGGGCAAGCTTAATTCTGGCATTTTCTAGCTTTTGAGGGGAAGGACGGAGCTGTTAGGAGATAAATATAAAGGGACATGATGAAAGGGGGAGGGATGGATAGCTCAGTGGTTTGAGCATTGGCCTGCTAAACCCAGGGTTGTGAGCTCAATCCTTGAGGGGGCCACTTAGGGATCTGGGGCAAAAATCAGTACTTGGTCCTGCTAGTGAAGGCAGGGGGCTGGACTCGATGACCTTTCAAGGTCCCTTCCAGCTCTATGAGATATGGAGATATACCTATATTATTATTATAAAGAATACAACATAATGACTGGAGAGAGAAGGCAGGTAGGTGATTTCAATGTATCCTTCAGAGCACAAGAAGAGGCCACTCAATCAGTGAAAAGCAGCAGATTTAAAACCAATATGAGGAAAAAGTTTACACAGGGCCCAGTTATCCTGCAGAACTCATTGCCACAAGACGCCATTGAGGCCACAAGCTTAGCTGGACCCACAAAAAGGCTGAACACTTCTGTGGGTAATGAAAACATCCATGAGTTAAAAACAATCTCCCCCCGCACCCAAAGTTTGGAAGGGCCCTTCATGTTTCAGGCCATGAACTGACCTTTGAAAGGAGTAGGTGGAAATGTTATCCTAGAATTGCCTGGGGCTGGGGCGGGGGGCGGGAAATGTTCTGAAAAAGCTGGGGCTGGCCACTGGCGTAGATGGATCCCTGCTCTCGTCCAGCCTGCCAGTTTGTGGGTTCCTGCACTCCGCTCGCCAGCCTCAATGCTGTTCTTTTACCAGTAGCTGTGTGGGACACAGCGCTTTCACTATTCGTTCCTGTGAAACACGAGACCGGAATAACTGGGGGGAGTGCAGCATCCATGACTTCTCCTCGGGCGTTAGCGTCCGGCCCGATTGTGCCTGGGAACCCAAACTCGCCTCCAGGTTGCCAGCTCTCATGATTTTATCACAAGTCTCAGAGCTGGTGTTTTTCTTAAAGCCCCAGGCCCCCTGCATCATGCCATGACGCAGGGATTTCAGCGTAGTAATTTTCTAGCAGTGGCATACGGAACGCAAACCCTAGAGACCAGAGAAATAATGGAAAAAACCCTCTCATGATTTTTTTAAAGCCAATCTTGTATTTTTTGGAGAGGGGAGGGCGCTGACTCATGGTTTCTTGAATGCTCGGGGTTGGTAAATTACTATCACTCCATTGTTTCTAATGGTTTCTGCAGCAGTGTCAGTCTTCTGTCCCCAGGAAACGTCTCCGTTCCAGGGCAAAACAAGCAAAGCATCACCCATTCCAGTCACTCCCAAGTAAAACCACAGGCAATTTAGCAAGGCATATATATAATTTGTGAAAGGAGAAATGGGTTTTTAAAGGCCAGATGCTGGTCTCCCAAAGCCCGTGGGCTAGTATGCTATCCCGCAAGCAGCCCTCCCCGGCTACTCAATAGCCTACTAGCCCCTGGGCATCAAGAGGCCAGATTCTAGCCCCTAGGGTTTATTTCTGGTGGATAAATGATGAGAGTTAGGAGGTGCCTCCAATGAAGCTTGGGTCTTCAACAGCGAGTGCTGTCATACAGCCCCTTACCTGTGAGGGATTTCAGTGATCCCCGACCCAGCCACCTGTGCAGTTCCCAAACGCTGCCCCTTCGAAAGACTGTCCTCCTGGCTTCTCCAACTGCGGAGCATCCCCTTCACCCCACTCGGTGTTCTGTAATCAGGGGCATTCCCTTCTGTTACCAACGCCTCTCAGTGCGGGGGTGGTCTGGTCTGCAAGGCTGCGAGTCAGGAGACTTGGATTCTAGCCTTGCCTTTGCCATGTCTTGATGACGTCACTTCACCGTGCTCTTTACCCCGCTGGCTGGCTGGCGCATTCAGACTAAGCTGTGCAGCCCCTAGCTCACCGGGGCTCTGATCCATGCAAATAATAAAGTGAAGCATAGGTGTAATCTATTAAGCAGTCTCCTGGGCAATAGGGCAACATGTGCCTGTTTGGAGGATAGGGACCAGGGTCAGCAGCTGTTGCAGGTCCTCTCTCTAGTAAGGCTTTAGTTTAACTATTGTCTCAGAAACATTTGGGGACTGATCCACAGGCACTGAAGGCAGTGGGAGTCTTCCCATCAGCTCAGGGGCTTTGGAGCAGGCCCTCAGCACCTAATCCACAGCAAGCCAGAGGAAAAAACTTCTGCAAACAACAACTGGACGGATCTGTGTATCCTGCCTCCTCTGCAAATCCCCAGAGCGGCACTAATCCGAGCGGCCGGTCAACACTCTCCCTTTCAAAACAGTTTTCAACAAAACCAGCCTTTTTGCAAAAGGAACATTTCCCTTCTCTCTGAAATTTTCTATGACCCCCCCTCCCCCAGCGCCGTTTCCAGGATCCACCCACCCCACTTCGCAACTGGAAAAGGGGAAAGAGCAAAAACTCAAAACAGTCCAGTTAAAAAATCCCATAAAATTCATGTTTTAAAGTTTTGCTTTGAAAATTCACCCATCGTGACCAACTCCGGTCCTGAGCCTTTGGAAACGGACCGAGCCGCCCAGAGGTTTGCTACGGGCACTCGGCGGCTCCTTCAGCAGGCTGGAAGTACGAGGACCGCTTGGAGCACCCCAGCTATTATCTAGTTTGGTTCTTCGGTGCCTGTCCAGACTAGCTATCTTGGACCAGTTCATGCCAACAGTCTGATAAGATTCGAATCCGCCCCACATCGGCTAACGGCCCCACGGCCTAGAGTAACGACCCCCTTCGCCCCTCAGAGCGCAGCGGAGGGACCGACTAGGATTTTAAAGACCAAGGAAAGGAAGTACAGTCTCACGCAGGTGGCAGAAGTAGACCGAGACAGGGACGTGAGCGAGACGAAGGCTGGAGCACAGGCACCTTACGTAAGACGCTGAAGAACAGCTACACTTGGTGTATTGAAAGCAGTGGGGATTACTTACCCCGCTGCAGATGTTTCACAGGGCCAGCTGCACTGGGCTGGCACTAGCCCCAGCCAGCTCTGACGCTCTGCGATGGGTCCGTGTCCTATAGACGACACTCTGGATGGTTCTTGCGGGCGGGTGGGTTTATTCTGTTCCTGGCTAATAGGATTATGACCCTTCCTTTAGAAATGGGTAAGCTGATCTCATTTCTAATGGTGTGTACATCAGTCGGGGTGGAGGAGATGAGCATGTGGGTGAGAGAGAGGGCGTTGGGGTAATGCTACCATAACACACTGTCCGTTCCCGCCCGTTTGACTGTGTATTTTATTGTTCCAGAGGGGCATTTGCTCATCTCTCTGGCTCTGCACAATATTTCAGTGTGCAATGGTGTGTTTGGGGTAGAACAACTCCTAGCAAATAATTTATTAGCTGGATTTTGCCTCCTCTTCAGTTTAGAAGCTTGTTGTTGGGAGATCCCTGGCTGGCAATCAACGACCTGGGAGTTCTCATGAGCAGACTTCAGCCTGCAACTCGGCCGTCACAA